GGGCCCGTCCACACGAAGACGAACCCTGGCCTAAACGCACAAATTTTTCACCAAACCAGCCTCTCATCCACACGAAGCCGGCGTTTCGGGGGTCTGTAAACGATCTTTTTTTTATTCAGCCTTCAGAGTGGGAAGATTTCGAAACGCCGTTTTCGCATTTCCATCTTTACGCTCTAACCGCATTTTTTTTTTTTTTTTTTTACACGCACGCGTCATAGCGTCGCCTCTAAACACGCATGCGCGACCAGTATCACAACAACAATGGCACCGTACTGTGTTGAATGGTTGCTGCTAATGCTACTCACCCTGCTGTCGGGCTTACAACAGAATCTTCTTCTTCTGGAATATCTCCAGGAAGAACAGAGCAATATTGACGACATAGTTCAGCACCTGAATTTGACTGAACCACGAAAATGGACCCGCAGGGCAACCATGTATAAATATTAGTGCGCATGCCCAACATTTAGTCGCTTATTTTTGCTTTGGCACCACAGCGCCACTTACAGGCCTGGCATACATTTTGCAGCGTTTGCATGCATTCGTGTGGACGCTCACATTTATTTTACGTCTCCGTCTTTACGAAAAACGTTTTGGAAAATATCAGCGTTTCGTGTTCGTTTTGACTTCGTGTGGACGGGGCCTTAGTTTCTCTCCATTTTTACAGTCTTCTTGTGTTTTCCTGCTTTCAGTCGCAGCAAACTGAGATCATCCCTGATCCTGGATCTGTTAGACCGAGTTGCTATTTTAAAAAGCTGCTGACTCGTTCACACCTGCAGCCTTTGTGCAACCTGAGGCTCTCGTCTCGTTTGTGTCAACTCCGCCTGTGTTAGTGTTAGAAACACACACACACACAAACGCAACAGGGTCGGTGTGAAGTGGGTCGGCTGTTGTTTGGCTGTCAGATTTAACATGTCGGCTTCTCTAGACTCTCATTTCCTCAGCCTGCTGTGTTTGACCCCCACTGACGCTTCAATGGCTCCCAGTTTGTCCAAGTCAATGCAACACACACACACTCATTTCAAAATGGCTGCAAAAAAGGGCAGGTTTCTATGTCGTGCAAGGTACGTATTAATTTGAAGATTAATTTGGCTTTCAAATTTGGATTAAAGTAAATAAAAGGCAGAAGGTATTTAAATAATATACAACATAAAAAAGATAATAGAATAATAGAATAGAATTCTCAAATAAGCTGCATGTCATCGTGTCATTTTGGAGGAATTTTACCAACATCATGAGGAAAAGTAAAGAAAAACCATGATGGAGGACGGAGAGAAAATGTGTTCATTTTTCCATCAGCGTCATTAACAAAAAGGTCAGAGTTCAACCATAAAAAGAAGGTTTCATTCCCTTTTCTTTCCATAAACTTAAACAGAGTTTTATGACGTTCGCATATTTCCTTTTCCAATAGCAAGCTAGCATTCTACAGTTTTACTTGAGATTTCGGTCTAATTCCCAGTTTTCCTGCATCTCTTTAGCTTCTTCAGTGGATGCTGCAGGTTCTGTGGCACCTCAGGTGGGTTCTCTCTACTTATCTGGGTGTATAACAGAATACTTTTTCAGCTGCATGTGAAAAGCCCCCCCCCCCCACACCCTGGGTTGAGGTTAATGGAGAATCCGAATTCCTTCACAGCAAACCGGGCAACACTCCTCCACATGTGGCTCCGTTGCCACGACCACCAGAGCAAACAGGCTCCATGAAAAGACTCCTTTAGGAGGGGAAAGTTCGCTCTTTGCTGCGTCTCTGCGTGTTTAATTAGCTAAAGCAGCTGGAAATCATGTTGATCACCAGATCAATCATCCTGCGGCAGGGAGGGCTTTACAAGAAGCTCTCAGCAAAGCTCAAATATTGAGTTTTTTTTTTTTTTTTTTTTTTTTTTTAGGGAGCCCTTCATGTCCGATTGAACAGCTGAAGGTGGTCTTATTCTAAGGTCAGAAACCAACATAAAGTCCTGGTGAGAAATTCCCATCATTTAGGAAAAGCAGGATCTGGCACTGCCCAATCCCAGCAAGGTCTCCCCCCTCCATAAAAGGATTCTGGCGTAGAGAGGGAATTCCTTCATGGCTGACCAGGTAACCGTTTGGCTTTGAGTCCAAAAAGCTAACCAGCCAAAACAGACTGGCTAATAAATGCAGCCAGTGATAAGCAGTTAATGTCCCAGAACTAATTACTGCCACACCGTCCCATTTTTTCACACTTCCCAACTCAGAGGGACGACACTCCCACACAATCGGAGCTGCTGCGGGTCGAGCCCGGGCAGCCGGGAGCAAATTAAATAAAGGGAAAATAACTGACTCAAGGTCAGACACTGAAAATTCAGATTTTTATGAATCATTAAATGCACCATAAAAGGAGAGTTTTTTTTTTTTGACAATTTCTAACAATCCACCATTAATCAACGTTTAAGACATTTGACATCTGATTTTTCCAGGTTCTAACAGACTTCCTGTTGGCATCTTAACAGAACAGCAGCTAAACATCATAATCTATAAAAGAGTTGAGCGTCCGGATGATGATAAAGATGATACGAGTGGAGATTAATATTACACACACTGAACAATCACCACATCTGAGTTTATTGCAAACAGACCACAGGTAGTCAACAATACTCCAGCACAATGACTTTTTTTCCCCTCCCATCTGTGGTCCAGTAGTTTGGCTAAAATGATCTGGACCTCATCTCCTGACACATCAGGCCTTTAACAAAATGTGCTGCCTTCATTTCCTATCATCAACAAGGATCCACAGAGTTTTGGCAATACAACAATTCCTGTTCTCGACGATCTAAAGCGTGGAGCTTGGAAAGAAGGGAAGGAGGAGTGAGACTAAGGAACAGAATCGACTCCAATTTGTTCCTTTTTGTGAAAACCGGATCAGTTACCTTGTAAGCAAGATGAATTATCGCAGGATTAGTGAATTCACAAACTCCAAAAGATGCATTAACCTCGATATAGAAATGTTCTAAACTGATGAAATGCAGTGACGTATATGACGTCAACCAGAAGCAGCAGGGGGAAGCAAAATAGCAAGGATGCACCGGTTTTAGCTGGTATATCCCTTAATTTCTTTTTTGTAAAATGAGCAAAAGGACGTGATTTATGCCTTTCAAGATGGGAAAGATGCTCAGACATTTCTCCAGATCATATTTGATAAAAGTTTGATTTATAAGTTAACTCCACTGTTTGATGAAGAATGTGATATGTCGCTACTGCTACTGCTGCTGTTGTTGCCTAAAAGCTCAACATGGAAGGCAGGTACCGATTGGTGTTTTACCCAATCAGCTTGAAGAACCGTACTGAATGGCCCTCAGACGTACAAAACAAAACTGTCCAGTACAAAAACATAGCATGGTTAAGAGTGTGGTTTTAATATCTGACACAGTTAAGGTTACAGTTGTAAATGTAATTTTAACTAGGTCAGATAAGCACAACCAAGCAGCAGAACACCGCAACAGAACAGATTCTGAAACTCTGGTTTTAACAATCAGCTCTGCAGAGTGTGCCGCCACATCCTTCCTGGGCTAGTACTGCAGTAAAACTTTCACTCTGCTAAAATGAACTTCCTAAAGATTCTGGCATCAAAAGTTCTGTTTTCTACTGTAAATTAGTGCATCTTTAGGGGTTGAGCTTCATTAATTAAAAGCATGATTTCAAAGGGGTAACGAAAACTAAAAATTCCAGTTCCTGCAGGTCCTTGAATGGCCCAACCAGACCTTTGTTTTCAGGAGCTACTGGTTCTGTTCAAGCAGATCCAGGTCAAGTTTCTGTCTCGTTTGTTTTAACTTCACCTGGAATGGTTTTTGCAAACTTATTTTAACCTGTTTTGAAACCATTGTGATGCATGCTCACCTTTTACATTTACTGAGAGAGAAAACCTCATGCTTCACCAACAACGCAGCTGCAAAGGGGGCCTTAATAGAAGAAAAGGTCTACTGCAGCAACCAACTTCCTGCAAGGTCTCAAAAAGGATATTAAACTTTTCATTCCCCATTAATATTCTGGTACTTTAATGTTTAGCTCACCAAGTAAAAAAACTGTATTATTTAAGAAAGTTTTTTCTTTACAGACAAAAAATTGGCCCTTACAGGTCCCTCCATCCTAACAATAAACAGCAGTTTAATTATTTAAGCTTAGGAGATACATTTTAAGAGCTGAATTTGAGTATAAACTGATAGTTTAGTCCAATCCAAAGGTCAGCAGCTTAAAAAACCCCAAGCAGATAACTGGTTCCATTACTGGGATACCAAAGAAGATCATAAACTGCTCAAGGACACATTCAGATCCTCCCAAGTCAGACCACAGCAAAATGAAGACTAAATTATCTGTTTAGCCTTCAAAATATTAAGAAATATTGGAGGAAGTGGGATTAATATGACATATGATGAAGGAAAATGATCTTAAGAAGATTTCTGGACTCCTTTCTGTCCTCGTTTCGCCCCGGTCACAGCAGCCGTCCTCGCTCCTGTCAAATGTCTCCATGGCAAAGCCAACGTGAGAGGAATCGGGAGGAGGGGGGGGGGGGGGGCGCACACACCGAGTGCCCCCCTCCCGATGCGCACCGGCGCGCGCACGCGGCCCGTTTACGCTCGTTCTGGGTTCCGTCATGGATAGAAAACAGGAACCATTGGAGATCAGCGAGGTCACCGAGCTCCGCAACAGCTCCGGGTTTGCTGCCTTCAGGAGCCCCAAAATAACTCCGTGAATTACAGCCCGAGAGGCCCAGCGCCGTCTGCCCCGCATTTATCACGCACCTGTTCTAGGGCGCAAAGCGCGTGAGGCGTCCGCGCGTGTGAGAGCAGGGATGATATGGCAGCCCTGAAATATCCACCCGGGGCGGACATTGAGGAGCCGCGGAGTCTCCAGGCGCTCCGCCGCACTCCAGGCTCCGTCTATTGGCCACTTCAGGCTGCAGCAGCTCCGGCAGCCTCCGGCTGCACGCAGACAGCGCGGAGAAAAACAGCTGGCATTAAAAATAAAGAAAGAAAGGAAGGAAGCACACTGACCGTGAATCCCTTTCCTGGATAAATCCCCTCTCCCCTGCGGTGGCGCTCCGGTGCGGCTCCCTGCAGCAGTCAGCGGACAGATATAGCTCTGTGCTCGGTGTCAGATCTCCTCTGTCCCTCCTCCTCCTCCTCCTCCTCCTTCTAACGGGCTGCTCCAAACTTAGCGGCAGCAGCGCTTCTCAATCAATCCAGAGATCTCAGAACCACCACCGGGATCGGAACGCGAACCAAGCGGTAGAATCTTTTCCCCGGAACCGGGAGAGGCGGAGGGAACCGGTGGGATGTGGCAGAAGAAAAGGAAATGTTTTGGTGGCTTTTTGTTCTCCTGAAATCATCTGAAGGAACGCCGATGTTGGATCTCAGCAGCCTCCACGGCAGCAGAGAGTCCCGATCCTCGGCGGTGCTCCACGCAAATGTCCGATCCTGATCCAGGAGGCGAGTTTGCTCCCGTTTGAGGAGGAAGAGGAGGAGGAGCAGATGAAGGAGGGCAGAACCGTGCATTTTCTGAATTACTCCTCCCACAAACTGCCTCCCTGGCGCTCCCTCCTCCTTCACTTCATTCACTTTTGTTTTTGCCCAGATTCTCAGCTGACATTCTGGGCGATTCTGGTCCAACCTGAACTTTTTTGGTCCAAGAACCAAACAGGTCACCGGTCTGCTGAAAATAAGCAGGTTCCTCCTGCAGAATCCATCCGGAACAGTGGTTCCAATAATCCAATTAAATCTATTTCTTCATAAAACCACCAGAAGCTTCATACCCATCACCTTATCCTCACTCTTATGTGAACCAGCAGTAGTTTTACACTTTACGCTTCTTTGGATTTTAGCATCAGTCCAAATGAAGCTTAGATATAAACCAACCGTTAATGAATCCATTAAAAATCTGTTTTTATGATCTGCTTTAGCAGCAGTTTTTTTTTTACTCTCAAACACTTTACTGTAACCTCACGCTGTGGCCACAAACTTTCCTTGAACCAACTTTGGTGAGAACACTGCACTTATTACAGGCTCGAGTGAACGGAACATTAAATATTACACGAGTCAAAGAACAGCAAAAGAAACCATCTTTTTAGAAATAAATCTGGTCGATTAGGAAAAGTGAAAGTACTTCATCTCAAATGGAAAAAAGTGGAGTTAAAGCTCCATTTGAGTAAATATTAGTTATTGGACAACATCCTGCTGTGAATATATGTAGCGATGTTTAACCTCAATGTACAGAAGCGTTTGGGGGAAAAGCATAAAAAGAAATTGGACACCAACTCCTTATGTGAAGCACGGTGGGGGAGGGAAGATGGTTTGGGGTTTTTTCAGTGCATCGCAGTCATGAGGTCAACCATGAACTCTTCTGTATACCAAACTATTCAAAAGTTAAATGTGACTCCATGTAACTAAAGTGACATTCTGCCCCAAGTGGTAGCTGATATGCTGACCTAGTCCAAGTCGGCTTACTTCAAATTCTATGGTGGTCTCTTTAGAACGACATTTCACACCTTATGAAATAAAAAAAAACTAAAGGTTTGGTTGATCAAAACCCCGCTAGAACCACACAAGGGACAGCAAGTGACAGATGAAAGAGTGTATGATGATGGATCGGGGCTTCCCAGGTCTATTCCTGGAGAGCCTTCATCCTTTAACTTTTTGATTAATTCTTCATTCAACACCTGAATCGGATGAGAGGAGCATGTTGTCGGAAAATTGTTATCTCTCTTCTATTATATATTAATTTATCCTATTTACTCACTATAAAAGTTTCACTCAGTCTGTTTCTCTCTCAAGGCCGTGTTCTCTGCAGGATGGTGTTTGTAGACCAGACATAGCTTCTTCCCATAACAAATCAGGTTCTTTCTCAAGGTTTATTCATAACATGTTATGGTTTAACCAAAGTGTGTGTAATTTGTTATGACTCTGACAACTTTCCATTGTTGTAAGTAAGGGGGAACGGACGATGCCCAGATCAGAACAGAGCAGAATGCTGTGCCATAAGGGCTTCATGATGACTGTACTCTCTCTGCAATGATATTAATAAATGTGCCGACTTAGTGAAATCCATCGATCTCCGTTTATTTAACTAGGATGAATAGTTGAATACTTTTTTCCCACGACAAGCATTACCAGGCCTGATGAGGGATTCAGCCATCTGATTCAGATGTTTTGGAGTGGGGACCCTTTAGGACATGTTTCTATCAGCAAGTATGGATTTAGGGTATTCTTTTACAAAAGGTTTACTTTGAAGACTGCCGTTTTCTCACATATCAGGATTTCTAAACATGTTTAATGGTTATATCACCGGGACTTTACTAAGATGATGTAAAGAATCACTTCAAAGACAGATCGTCTATACATGATGATCCGTTCATCCGGATCAGTTTGAACAACTAAATGCTGCAAGCGTTCCATGTAGTATTCATGGAAACAAGCTGGATTTTAAATTCCAAGAATCCCTTTGAATCGTCCAGAGCGGATAATTACAGAGAAACAGTTTTAAGATCGTATTAAGATCCTGCTGACTACTTGAGCATTTTAGGGGAAAATACCAGATTACATGTTGGGAAGCGGGGCTACTCTGAGGGTAAGCATGGTTTTCTCCACAGTGAAAAGATTGGAGCTCTCTGTGTGTTGCTGCAGGTGTTTTTTAGCCTCCTTTCTAACGTCTCAGCATTACAAAGTGACCGTAAACCTCAAGCATGCTTTGTTGTACACGTCCGCAGGCGCCTGCTGCTCTCGCCTTTAACAGGAGGGAAAATACCTGTGTGTAGCTGATGGATGTGTGCAGAGGGTAGGGTTACCAAAGGTTCTGAATTCCTAATAGATTTCAAATGAACCGCTCCAAGTCATTTCCCCCATTTCCTGAGTAAATGTCAGCAAACTAAGACTTTTCATAAAAATATCTTTGGAGGACAAAGCTTTGAATAAATCTATTCCAATCTGATAAAAAAAGCTTAATTATAATTAATCTTTCAGAGAAATCATTGACAGTTGAAATGAGCACAATAGTTCTGTTTTTTGATGCTATCGCTATGTCAACAACAGTATTAAATCATACACCATCAGCTATATAATTGTAATGCCATTGATTTGTAATGCAATGATTTTACTTTCGGTCTCCATATCTTTTGTAAGAGACATGAGGTAGTGTCACTTTGAACTTTTTGTTAAGGAATTCAGCTTTAATTTGGAGTAGTAGCTGATATGAGAATAAAAACTAAAAAAGAAAAGTGGTGAAGAAAATAAAGGAAACTTGAAGCCCTCTGTGATTGTGGGGTGTTTTATATGAAATGTATAAAGGAACTAAGAGCCTATGAAAGTTGATGCAGGCTAGGCAGCTGGGTTTATACCAATAGCATCATAGCTCCCACTGACATGAAAAAAAATGCCAGCCGGAGCTACAATTTACGAACACAACATTAATGTCATAAATTTCTGTCCTCTGAGGCCTTATTTAAACAGTTTATGCAGAACTAAAGAGTTATGTTTTCATTGAGAACTTGAATAAACACCAGAAAGCAGACATTCTGACTGGATATTCCATTTTTCTTGCATGACTATTGAGTAAATTCAAAATGTCTTTTGTTCAATGGACACAGTTTTTAAAGGAAAAGTCCGCTCATATTCAGAATTCAAAGTTCTGAAAGTACTTTAAATGTGAAATTATTACATACTGTTCAATAAAGTGTTTTTAATTTAGACAAATTTTCATTTGAATGTGCTTTACTGGAGGCATCCATGTTTGTCAAAGAACACTACTGCCAACTACCGCATTGTGACGTCACGGTATCTGGTGTTGATCAAGTCCCAGTGCTGTATCTGGTGTTTTTGTCACAACGCACTATTATCCTAGGAATCTTGAAAACATTCTTCCAAATGTTGGCTACATATTACGCGTTTTTCTCTCGCCAGAAGTTCAATGGCAATTCCTCCCTCTTCAAGTTGGCAATCGGGAGGATCATGAATTAGGAAGGTGATTTTTATTTTTTCCCCACTTTTACCCAATGTATTATAACATCCAACTGCCATGCACGTGGGCATTGTCAGTTTAATTATAGCACTCGCAAATTTCAACGGTGAAATCCTCTTGAAATCTTCAATAATTGTTGTTGATTGCAAATGTGTCTAGTAGTTCCCATTGTGGAGAATAGGAACTACTAGACACACTGCACTGTGACGTCACTGCCGGAAGATGTCAGGAGTTAGGTTTTACTTTATGTGGGCAAAAAAGTCGCTCCCAGACTCTGTGATCGCAACAAACATTATTTTTACCTTTTGCTGATTAACGCCAAATAAATTAAATCCCTGCAAACGTATTAGTTTTAGGTATAAATAATGACCAATTGATTATACCTTGCTGACCAGACTTTTCCTTTAATGTTTAGTCCAAAATATCTACTAGACCTAATGGTTTGGATGATTGGAATGCTTGATTTTGACACATTTGTTTCTATGCGATGTGTTTGAGGTAATTGTTCTCATGAAACACACAGCTGAGCGTAAGGATCTTGAAATAAAACTGGAAGCCTTCCTCACTGATTAATTCAAACTGCTAGCAGGCCTTATAGTTGTAACAGTGGTGTTGACCCTCACCGTTTATTTTTCAGGCCGTTTGTTATCTAAAATCCCAAAAGGCAACCTTCCCTTTCCTTTGAAAGTTCTGGAAAAGGTGAAGACTGATCTAATGATGGTTCATTCTTCCTCCTCATACTCCTTGATCTGCCTGATACTTCCAACACCATATTCACAGGATCTTCATAAACCATATCAGCCTTCATTATCTCTAACTAACCACATGGAATATATCTCCAATGAAACTCAAAATGCTGAATTTACAGTGTTCCCTTAACGATCCATCCTTAACCAGGTCATTGGTCTCTATGGTGAATCACACCACTTTTATACAAATTATATTCAACTTAAGATACTTTTTGCCTTTTTCTTTTTCCTTTGACCATCTTTTTTTTCTGGACCATGACTTACTGCAACTAAACGGCTCAAAATCTGAAGCACTTTAAGCTCAGCTCAACTCTAACAACCACTTTCTTTGGTCTGGAAATCCTACTCTTCTTTTAGCAGCCTTTGTGTTTAGTTTGACTCTAACCTCCCTTTCAGCTTCAACGATAACATCTCTGCAGGACCTCACTCATTCAGCTCAAACATTACAATCTAAATATCACAGACTCTTCCTGAAAAACGTGTCAGCACTGGAGGAGATGAAGGCATGGATCTCTGTTACACCCTCCTTCCTGCGTTCTTAAACAAAGATCTCCAAGAGTTTCAGTCTATTAAGAGCAGAGCAACCAGAAAACTTGCATCTAAAAAAAAAAAAGCTAAATAATGATGCCAAACACAAAAAACATTGAGATTGATAAAGTAGGGCAACATTGATCTTTTGAGAGGCCATGACCTGTTGAAAATGAGCAAACTTCATGTAAAAGGTAAGTTAAAAACCAACCACTTTTAATGAAGTCTGC